ATGTCCTCGTCGATTCTTCAAATTTTTAATTATTTTTGTTTCTGAAACCTTGGGTCTAAGAATACACCATAAAAGGAACGATTTCGCTCGTGCCAGACATGGGGGTGACCCCCTTTAGGCGTGTTTACATATAACGCACGATCCAACGGATGGCTTTGTTCGAATCGTGTCGACGTTCGGTGAACAGTCAGTCTGTGTTTATCTAGACCAGTGGTCACCAACCTGTCGCGAGCGCTAATGAGTTTGGTCATTCGTTTCAATTTATATACCCAGTGTGCCTTGCACACTGTCAAATATAACCAAAAGCGTAGGATAATTCCTTCTCAAAAAATAGATCGAAACCTTAGACGACATTTTTTTGGTCGAATCTTGTACCTTTTTTTGACAAGTTTGACGCATGACATTCACTGTTCTGGGTTTCGGATGTTTGCTCGATTCTCTGAGACGTTTCTCCCAGATCAGAATCGCTGGAAATTCATCGAATCGGCAAGACCTGACGTTCGAGAAGCCTTACGCGTGTACCGCGAGAGTTAAACGGGGCTTCGTCCGAGTATTTCTGCTGTAGCAATAATACGCAAGACCCTGTGTCGTTTACATAAATCGGCTAATGCATTAACTTGGCCTGAGGCTGAAACTATTCGAATACTTCATAAATATTCGCATAACTATGAATTAACTTCGGATGTTTTAGTATTCGAGTACTACGAATAAATTTCGAATAATATTCCTATACAGGGTGTTTGGCCACCCCTAGAAAAAATTTTGATGGAACATTCTAGGGGCCAATATAAGACGAAAATCAAGAATACTAATTTGTTGATGGAGACGTCGTTAAAAAATTATTAACGTTTAAAGCTCCGCCCCTACTGAATTTTTTTTCTAGTAAGTGGGCAGGATTTCGGGGGCAGGTTTATTCACCAAAAATTATTGTAATTGAACCCTGCAACCGAAAATAATTTTTCCAGAACGATTTGAAATTTTTTTTCGCACTCTACAAAAAAGTTGTCTAGTACTGTTTTGTAGGTACTCATGGGCTATGCTTCAATAAAAAATTTCAATGAGATACCTTTACTATTGTGAGAGTAATGGCCGTTAGAAAATTGGACCAGTTTTAGGGGGGTTTTCTCACTTTACAGTGTCAAGGAACAACTTTTTCAATATTGTTAGAATTTCTACATATTCTCCAGTAAAATACGCGTTGTTTGCATTTTGAAAAATTAAAATCCTCCAATCCATTCAGGAGTTATGACATTTTAAAGATTTGCATGATATTTCAGGGGAGCATTTCTGGCCTCACATTAGACTCTCAGTAAAGAATTTTTTTCTCGAAAATGCACAGGTTTTCGGGAGTATGTCTATTCACCACAAATAATTGTAATTGACCTCTGTAACTGAATATAATTTTTTTAGAACGACTTGAAATTTTTTAATTTCGTCTAAACATTTCAGTACCTACTCGAATTTTTTTCTCGAAAATGCGTAGGATTTCAGGGGTATGTGTATTCATCAAAATTGATTGTAATTGAGCTCCGCAACCAAAGATAATTTTTTCAGAATGATTTGAAATTTTTTAATTTAATTTTTTAATAACTTTGTAATGACGCCTCAATCAACAAATTGGTATTCTTGATTTTTGTCTTATTTTTGCCTCTAGAATCTCCCATTAAAATTTTTCCCAGGGGTGGCCGAACATTCTGTATAGTCAAATATTCGTGTAGTATTCTACTAGTCACATGTTCGAATTCTGTTCTCTGAATATTACGAGGCATTGAAATATTCGAATATTCAAACGCAGAGAAATTGGATAAATAATCCCATCCCTAAATTCGGCGGTATTTTTTTCGTTGCCTGCAAGCCATATCAGTCGGTGGGCGTCCATTGCAACTCTACACTTTGGTCGCTGCTGCTTTCTGTCGCTGATAGCTGCGATTTAATTATCGTAAATTGTAACCTAATCGGATCGACCCACAACAGACGAGAATTCATTTTTATCGCTACAAAAATAATTGGCTAATCTCAGTGAGAACTACTCGCGGAAAAATACTGAATAGTCAAATTTCGTTAATATTTTCGTATCTCTACTAATTTTATTAATGTTCCTTTTGTTTAAATTATTACAACGTAAATTAACGAAAACTATTTCAGTTATGGCTATCGTATTATTTTTCACATATAGACATCGTTGCATCTATAAAGAAAAAAAATGGGGGTTGTCGTTCCTTTTTTATAATACATTTATTTTGTAATACAATCATAACCTTTACGTAAAAAAAATAGTACAAATGTTACAAAACAGGAAACAGTTTTCGAAGCTTCATTTGAAAAGTATTAGTATCGTAAATGTTTTGCAACGAGCTGCATTTCGCTGTGACTGATTCGTCGCATTCGACTCTGAAGACTAACGATTCACGTTGGTTCTCGATCGAATTCCTTGCAAATGCCTGCTTGATGTTAGATAGAACTTTTTTCACGTTTCATAATTCGATGTTCTATTTTCTGTTCGTTCCTTGAGATGTACGTTGTTGGTGTGCTACACATTTTGTTTGTTTGTTGTTGACCGTTTACTCGACGAGACGCGTGGGAAAACGTACTTGAGGTAGGTAACAGAAGGCCCAAGGTCGTATCGGTGTATCGTTTCTCATGGATCATGGCTTCTGAACGCTAAAAACGAACTCGTGGATGAGTATATACAAACAGGCCATGGAATAATTGATAAAGTTCCGTAAAGAAATCACGGAGCCACGATTCCAATAATGTCTCGAAAACCTGTCCAGAAATAGAATATGCTTTACACGAGTTTTCACGCGAATGTCTTCACTTTCATCGACGTACGCGACACCATCCATATTGAACTGGAATTCGTTCCTAGTACGACAAAAATAATCGACTAATTTCAGTGACAACTGGGCCTGAGAAAAGTTCTATTCCTTGTTCAAACTATCACGGTGATAAATTAATGAATTTAAATATTTTAATTATGTAGTGCGGTACAACTATGTGCTGATATTAACCTAACCTCGAAAATAATTGTAAAAAATGTAATAAAAGATATGTAATAGAAAATACTAAATAGTGAAATAAAATAAACTACATATCGATACTATTGGTTATATTCGAATAATATTTTGCCCAGTTCTGTCACCGAATTGAATATTTCTGTCGTGCTATGAGCGAACTGTATCCAACTATGGCAACGAGACTTCGAACGACGCGCACGTTCATTACTGTGTTTATCCGCCATGATTATCCCGTGAAATTACGTAAATCTGCACGATATAGCGAACAAGGTAAGACAATTAAATGTACCCTGGCTCGATTATAATCGAGCTAAACGCCGCGTCGCTACGAAGATGGCGTTAGGAACTGTTATATCACAGCAAGAGGGAGTCTGAATGACCAGACAATACCATTTGTAAAAATGCATACACTGTTCATCAAAACTTTGAGGCACCCTTCGGTTATCGATATTTAACCCTTTTGGTGTCGAGCGAAAAACGGGTGCCTATGCAAAGAATACCGAGCCAATTTGACGAGTTTGCTATGGTTAGAGAAAAAGCTCATAAAAACCAAACTAAAAATGATATTTACAAAATTCAAAAAGCAGCATAAGGAGAGAATAAAGTAATGGCAATTGCATTTCAATATTTATGGCAAATCGTATAAATAACATAATTATGAAATATGATAAAAAACATAGAAACAAGTTTCCCTTCTACAAACAACATTTACACATAACAATAATCATTGATTGATCACAGTTTTATGTAGGTCACGTAGTATAAAGTATAAGTATTTGATTTTCAATGATTTTTTAATAAATAATCAATTCAAAATATGATATAATTACAAAGATATATGAAAAAATAACAAGCAATGCATATTAGGGACTGTTTCAGAGTTTATTACTCTGTAAACAATTTTAAGATATAAATTTAGATTTTGTTTGCAAATATATGTTCCTCGATGTCCACAAATTCAGGTAAACCAAAAATCATTACAATACCTTACTTAGTTCCAAAGTTATACTATACAGGGTGTTCGGCTACCCCTGGGAAAAATTTTAATGGGGGATTCTAGAGGCCAAAATAAGACGAAAATCAAGAATACCAATTTGTTGATGGAGGCTTCGTTAAGAAGTTATTAACGTTTAAAGTTCCGCCCGTACTGAATTTTTTTCTCGAAACTGAACGGGATTTCGGGGGTATGTGTAATGACCAAAAATGATTGTAACTGACCCCTGTAACTAAATATAATGTTTTTAGTATGATTTTAAATATTTTAATTTCGTCTAAAAATTTCAGTACCTACTCGAATTTTTTGCTCGAAAGTGGGTAGGATTTCAGAGGTATGTGTATTCACTGAAAATGATTGTAATTGACCCCCGCAATCGAAAATAATTTTTCCAGAACGATTTGAAATTTTTTAATTTAATTGTTAATAACTTTTTAACGAGGCCTCAGTCAAAAAACTGATATTCTTTGTTTTCGTCTTATTTTGGCCTCTAGAAGTTCCTATTAAAATTTTTCCCAAAGTTGGCCGAACACCCTGTATAATATGAGAACTTCAGAATATACATTTTTGCGGCAAAATAGCGTTGAGTTGCTGGTTCGCCCGAGCGAAAAAGGCACTGGTGCAAAAGGTTAAACCTAAAAATAATTTTTTAAATGCTTTTGCTATGAAATTAAACCCTTTGTAATGTTTTATAAATTTTTTTTAAGACAGAGCTTTCTCCCAATGCGAAGAATAAGACACCATCGCATATGCAACGATATATCGTCGTTGACACTTTTCGCAAGTGTAGTGAACGACGATATATCGTACGGGAAAGGGTTAAAGATCGAAGGGTAAACGAATTTTTTGTACGGCAATGTTATAACGTAGTAATTTGTCCTTTCAGTGCAAGATCGGTAATCGAATTTCAAGAAGTTAGTCCGTTTCAGGAAATTGTTGGATCTAGGTCTAGGTCTCGACGGAAGAGTAAATCGATAATTTGATCGTAGGAGCAACTGCGGAAGCGGAAGGATGAAGAGGAGAGGCAAGAGATACTTAATCGATCGCTCCGCGGCTCCACGAAGCTCCAGGCGCTGGAAAGTCACGCGACGAGTCTCGCGGGCCAAGAAAATCCAGCTTACTCCCAAGACGAGGTGACCACCGTCGGTCGGTCGACTCATGTCGCCGTGAACGCGACGCAGGAAGTAGAGGAGCCTCCCAGGCCACTCAGTAAGTTCTCCTTGTCCTCCGCGATACGCTTATTAGAACCCCACTCGACTCCATGGCGCGACGACCGCACTCGAGACTCTGTTTATGTTTCGATAATTCGTTTGTCTGCCCCCTTTTTCGTCTCATATTCTCTCCTCAGCTGCATTTATACCGCTCAATCGCTATCACCGATCGAATCTCGGGATCCTCAAACTTTATTCCACCTAATTCCAACGCAAGAAGTTAATATGATCAAAGAAATGAAATCATGCATTGTTAAAAAATAACGACTATAGTAGAAACGAAAATCTTGGTGTTCAGTCACCTATTAATTTATTACACACTTATTAACGAACTCGTCTGCATCGTACAACAATCGTCGCCGAATAGTGTTCTGCGCATCTACTCTGCGCACCACGCGACACTTTGTTGGAGTGGGGAGAGGTCGCTGCTTCGTGCATTTACGATAATATGGATCATTTTATTGGCGTTTAGAATAAATAAGTAAAACCAGAGATGGAGGAAATTTTATTCGAATAATAAATAACAAATAAGACCAACGTACGACAATTTATTCGCGTTACATTTTTTTTTATTTCATTTATTATAGTTACGAGTTAAACTACCCCTCCTCCCACGAAAGGTCTATGTTGGCTTGTGGGTGAAATGTTTCAAGAATCTGCCTGATCTAGCCGTGTTGCATGTTTCAGCATACGGAGAGGTCGTTGCAACGTTGGAAAGGCTACAGCTTCAGCTACGCAATATTTCCGGTGCCCTGGGGATCTCTGGTCCTGGCGTGGAAGCGGAACTCGAGGCAGTGCGGACACTTTTGGTGCAAAGTAGATTTGCGTCAGCCCTGGCCACCCACCATGCATTAAAGAACAGGTTGAGATCCAGCAAGGTGCTAAAACACCACGCTGAAGATGCCTCTACTTTGGCCCGAGATGTACGTAACGAACGAAAGAGTATGTCTCTCAGGTTGTCACAGACACGGGCGTAAGATGCGAGAACTTGAGAAAGAATGCGGTGCGTCGAACAGAAGAACGTCTAAGTAAAGATTCAACGATCGATGTTTCAGTGCGTGGACATCTTGGAAAAATGGCAATCCTCGTCGACGGCAACAGGTGTCGGCGGAGCGGAAACTATGGCCGCTGTGGAGGAACTGACAAGGATTCTGACTGGCTACGACATGGAGGCTCTTCTTCTCTCTCACGACTCGATCGTTTCGTACGTCGAGGGACTCCAGAGGAAACAGAGCCCCTCGTCCTCGTCGCCGAGCGGACCTCCCAGCCCGACAGCCAGCTGGAGAGGCACTCGAGCCGTTGACAACATCAAAATCATCAGAATCGAGAAGACAAACGAACCTCTAGGTGCTACTGTTAGAAACGAGGGCGACGCCGTCATTATAGGTACACCTTCGACGAATAGAACGAACCCACTAAATCGTAATAATTATAAAGACCAGTTTTCTTTTGTCATTCCGCAACAAATACTTTACAACTTTATAAAGAAACAAGTCTGTTATATGTAAGTTCGGTTATTATCTCAGGTCGAGTCGTGCGCGGCGGCGCAGCGGATAAGTCTGGGCTTCTCCACGAAGGTGACGAAGTCCTCGAAGTGAACGGTGTGGAAATGCGCGGGAAAAGCGTAAACGAGGTCTGCGATATTCTGGCTGGCATGCAGGGTAGTCTAACCTTCCTCGTGCTTCCAGCTCCCACGAGTCACAGGAACAACTTGTCGAATAGAAGAGAAGATACTAATCAGGTACAGAAGTTAGATACAGAAGTGTTTTTGAAGAAGAATCATATTCACACGGTGTTGCTTTCGACATTTTTGTATTGCAAATAGAAAAATGGTTTTCAACAAAGTTATTTTCGGCAGATACAACACATACGAGCGCACTTCGACTATGATCCCGAGGAAGATCCATATATTCCTTGTCGGGAACTGGGAGTCGGGTTCCAGAAGGGCGACCTGTTGCATGTTATCTCTCAGGAGGACCCGAATTGGTGGCAGGCGTATCGGGAGGGCGAAGAGGATCAAACTCTGGCTGGCCTGATACCTAGCAAAGCCTTTCAGCATCAGTAAGTGTATAAATCATTGAACTGCACTTGAGCAGCTGTGATCTCTAATCGGCATTGGTCTCCGACATTGACCTTTCTACGACGCTTTGCTTAGACGGGAGTCGATGAAACAGACCATCGCCGGCGACAAGTCGACTGTACGCGGTTCAAAGAAGTCCAGCACGCTGTTGTGCGCTAGAAAGAATCCGAAAAAGAAGAAACGGAACAAGTTCGGGGCGAATTACAACGACGACGGCTATCCTCACTACGCGACAACTGCCATCGATGGTAGATATCATTCGGCTGAACGCAATAAACTGTCGTTTGCCAATCTAATATTTCTCTGTTATAGATTACGACAGTGAGGAGGTGCTGACGTACGAGGAAGTCGCTTTGTACTACCCGAGGGCGGATCACAAGAGACCGATCGTTCTGATCGGACCGCCAAATATTGGACGACACGAGCTGAGACAGAGACTAATGCAAGATAGCGAGCGTTTTGCGGCGGCCATTCCTCGTAAGCTGTGTTACTCTTTTGATCTTTAACACTAGATTTATGGAACATTGATTGCACATATTTTAAAATCCTAACGATCTTATTGGAAAATCCTCTATAGTATTGTTGGATTATCTATGAAAAAGGTAGTTAACCGTTTTAAACTTTTGTTCGCTGCTGTATGTAAACGAATTTGTGAGTCCGCGAGAAAGAAACTATAGAACGTGTTTGTTCGCAGACACGAGTCGTACCAGAAAAGACTCCGAAGTCGACGGGCAGGACTACCACTTCATCTCCCGTTCTCAGTTCGAGTCGGATATTCTCTGTAGAAAGTTCGTCGAGCACGGCGAGTACGAGAAGGCTTACTACGGAACGTCTGTAGAAGCCATACGGACCGTCGTGAACTCGGGGAAGATTTGTGTTCTGAACCTGCACCCGCAAAGCTTGAAGATCCTCCGAAACTCGGACTTGAAACCGTACGTGGTATTCGTCGCGCCGCCGAGCTTAGAGAAGTTGCGGCAAAAGAGGATCAAAAACAACGAGAGCTTCAAGGAGGAGGAGTTAAAGGACATAATAGAGAAGGCGAGAGAGATGGAGGACAAGTACGGGCACCTGTTCGACATGATTATCATAAACACCGATACGGATCGCGCGTATAATCAGCTGCTGACAGAAATCAACTCGCTCGAAAGGGAACCGCAATGGGTGCCAGCGTCCTGGCTAATACAGTAAATCGTAACGAGAAGCAGCCATAATAAGTCTGACCCGACGACTACAAGGATTGGTTCTATCTGTGGTGCCTGTTATTACGTTTCGTACACGCGCGCATCGAAACTCCTTGCCAGGCTGTCGTATTCCATGTGCCAGACTGGCTTGGTGTGCAGTCTTCCGTGTTGCAATCGTCGGTGCCATCGGAGGTCCTACGAGGATCGTCGGGACACGGCAACCGTTGAAGCGTTCGCGAAACTCACCCCGTACTCCTGTGTTCCTCGGGAAACCGACCAGGATCGTCGTCGACCAGCAAAAGGTCGAATCCTGAGTTCCTCGCGTCCTTTCCTGCTCAGGACTTAATATCCGCGTTCATTTGTACAACGAGCAAGCCGCGAGGAAAGGTCGGTACCATTTTCCGTCTAAGACGCTAAAGTTTACCCAAAGATGCGTGAACCTCGAAAAGGATTCTCGTCCGCCTTCTTTCAGAACTCACCAGGCCTTTCTCCAAGATCAAAGCGCGTGTTCGTGTGACGTTTTAGAGTCACGAATGTGGGACATTTTTTTTTTGTTTTTGCTGCTGTCTCTTACGCAGTTCTTTACACGAATTCGGGAATGCAAATGGCCGAACAAGATTCCTTAATCAATTTGAATTTTTTGCTCCAAGTCGCGACACTGATCGAAAAAATTCGGTCTAAAAATTTGATTTGTAATTCTCGTGTATTTGAGATACGAATCGGGGACCTCTATTTACTATCACGTGAACACGCAACTTTAAGCCGAGCCGCGAAAGATACTGCACCGCGGTAATCTCAGTCAGCAGGAGCATTTTCACACACACCCGCGCGCGTATACACTCACCGAACTTGCTGCTCTTGTATTTTAACCCTAGAAAGACCAACAGCGTGGAGGGGAGAGGGATTCGTTGATCCCACCAATCAGAATATCTTCAAACTATGCTATTCTCTCGTATAAATTTCACAATATTATTGTTGACACAAGTATTTAGTGATCGCTCGATAAGCAATGTTATTTAACGTTTCTAGCCAGCAATCTGGTCGATTTCAGAATAAAAAATACAATGTCTTTTTACAAAATATGTACATACATAACCTTTAAATATCTGAAACGCCTTCACAAAAACACATGCCACCTAATTACCACTTTAAAACCATACAACTTTTATACGTCACAACTTTTCATGCAACGCATAATTTACAAGCTCTTCAAGGGGGGCATGTCGAATGCCTCGCAAATTATTAACGAAACAAAATCTACACAAAAAAAATTAATATGTTCTTTTTTCTTCATATTAATTATATTATTTTTGGTCGGATTATCAGTAAAGAATAAAATTCCCCGTGCCGTTGGTGTTAACCCGTTGGTAATAAACCCACTATTGCTCGTAAAATATTTGTTGTCAATAAATAACGATGGATAATTCAGGTGGAATTGAGAAGTCCATCCCCTCTCCCCTCGCGACCTTGATCTTCTACGATCCAGTCTTTCTAGGGTTGATTCAGAACATTTCACCCGGACTTGGCTAAATTGTTAACGAGATTTTAACGTGATCGCGTTTCCCTCGTATTTACGTGATTCGTGCGAAAACGGAACACCATTAACCTTTCATCGTTCGCCGTAGGGACTCGTATTTGTTTAGTGAAGAGAATCCGTACCTTCAACTTCCCCGTAGACGTCCGTTAACGCGATAGACTTAGGCTCACGCGCGAATCAGCGCAAACGAACTTCTCGAAGAACTTAAACCTCCGCATTCTCAATCTCTTTCTGCCAACAAGACGATTTCCTTCTTGTCGTTGGGTTTCCGATTCTTTACTAGCAATAATCCCACAAGGGTGTTTCTCAAGGCAGACGGAAAACCAGTGTCGTATGGCCCTGTTTCCGTTTGTTTTACACTTATATTATTTTACAGCGTTCTCAATGACAGTATCGTTATCGGCAGTTTTACGAATATTAAGTGTCTTCCGTTAGTTTAAAGTTTAAAATATGAATCATTAGTGACCACCGTAGCAGCCAACAACGTGTTAGTTTCAATGTCTTTACTAGAATTTGTACGACGCTTGATTTTATTCGTCGTCAGTTATTCGAATAAACTTTTGCTCGGGACCCGCTAGATTTTTATACGCTAAATACGCACGAGCGACACGCCGCCATTGCGATCCTATGTTTTTCCTTGTTTTGCAACTAAAAACAACGAAGACGGACGAAACCGACGTTCTCGTGTCTTTTCTTCGTTGTTCTCGATTGCGAGACAAGGAAAAACAGAGTCGCAATGGCGACGCGCATTCGCGAAAGAAGCCGGTACGTCCGGCAGCACAGGTTAGGTTAGGTTCTTGGAGCAAGTAGTTTCCTGATCGCAGAAAATTGTAGAAACACGCGAAAATCGAGCGAGTGGAGAAGGTGGATCGAGTCGATACGGTTCGATGACGAAGCTCGCGTCGAGAAGTAGCTTAATTTCGGTGTCGTGAATTCAGCTAGAAGAACGAAACGCGAGAAAAAGATATTTTAGCCGAGCGTTTGAACGAGGTTTACTTACGCGTGACTGTTGTGCCAAGTATTGAGAAAGTGACACGGTGAAACTGAGATGTGCCAAATTAGCGTCTGGAAATTGTCTGTCCAGAGCGGAGTCGAATTCCTTTTCTTCATCGTGAGGGAAAGGCTCGCGAAACTATAGAGAACAATGTACGAGAAACACGCTCAACGGCACCTTCGCATCCGTCGTTATATTGATTCTGTAAATATTTGTGCACTTGTATAGAAAAAGAAAAAGAGAAAACGAATAAGATGTTTTATCGTTATTATTATTATTATTATTATTATTATTAATTATTAATTATTATTATTATCAGTAGTATTATTATTATAATTATTATTATTCTGATAATTCTCTTTGCTATTGTCATCGTATCACCAGTACTCTATTTCTCGAACGATTTGATGCGAAAGAAGGTCAGTATGATTGTATTTTTAAGCGGTCAATCAAAATGTTTCTCGACGACGGCGTTTAATCGTTTTTACGGGTGGATCCGCGTGTGAAGTGCTTGGTTGTGTATCGCATCGTTAAATGCGTTACGTACAGATCACGAATTTCTGTGTCTTTCGGATGTTGTTTATCGTGCTAACTTCTTTTTATCCCCGGACTGTGTATGTTGTATATTTTCGAGCTCGTGTTGTCGGCCACGCAACTCCCTTACATTTTGCCGTGAAGCGACAAGCGGTTTTACCTTTCGCGAAGTTTTCTCGACGATGAAAGTGCGTGGTGGTTGCTGTTTCTCTGGATGCCTGAGAGAGATATTTATACTTGCTGTTACTCCGCGACGACGAGAACCAATAAACTATTCCGTAGGTAAACTACCCTGGCGCAAATACTGTGCGTAGCGTGCGATCACGACCGATGCCTGTTCAAGCTGTGTGTACATTAACTACCGCTGTTAACGAATACGATTTCTTTTATTCGACGATCAAATCGATTTTATGTGTAAAATAAACGTACAACTTGAAAGAGGAAATATAATATGTATAGGGGTACGCATACGTTTTGTATATACGTACGGTATATACGCGAGCGCGTGTATTATTCGCGAGAGTCGAAAGAGACAAGCCCGGAATATCAAGATTCGATATGTATTTTGTTAAATTCTCTTGTTGTTGACGCCCTCGGGAAAATTGTACGATAATTTTTTGCGTCGTTCGTTTTTTCTTCCAGCTCTTCTTTTTCTCGCGTTCTTCCAACATTCCGCAATTCCTCTCTCGCGGAAAATAGAGATGGGACCCGACAGGGACGGATCCAAGGTAGGTTTTAAAATATACTTTTACATGTTTCGCCATCCTCCATTCCAACCAAGGTTTCTGGATCCGCCCCTGGGGACTGAGACGCACTTCAATATTATCGATAATCTTTCGTCTTTCGTTGTACCATTCAAAACAATGTCTTCGATTGATTTATCACGTATCGAGGCACGCGACTATCGTATCGATACTTATTCGTTGAATCAGGTATCATACGCTGCAATTAATCTGAACGTTAAACATGCGTAGTGAATTTTTTAGGTTAGTCCAGTCATCAAATCCAATCTGTTGACAAAAGACTCCGCACAGATATTATGGAAAATGACACCCGGTTAAATCAGCTGAACTTTTGATATAATGTAGTTCATGATGTCTTGATGAAAAGTTCCAATGGGCCCAAGATTGTAAATTGAACAGTTTCCGAGATACGGGGGATCAACAGTCAATAATAGTGCGCTTTATTCTAGACTACCACGTTTCAGCTTATTTGAGTGCAAGAAGCACTGTTGTGACCCTGTGAGCCCTTAAATATTACCTCTTGACTCCCTGACCCTCTGACTCCCTTTCAGGAGTCCAAATAAAAAAACGCCAAAAGGGTGAAAAATGATTCTTCTTTTCATTGTACAAACATGAAGCACCGTCGACATTAGCATTACCCAGTGTGCACCACGAAGAGGTTGCTTGATCGGATTTTCCACACCATGTGGCCCTGAAAAAGCCCGTTTTTATAGTTCTCTCTATTTGTCCAAAACAATCTCAACATTCATATTGTCTTGATTACCTCTATTAGCGCAGATTAATACTTCCTTGGTAGATAACAGCCTTAGAAGACTAAAAGTTTATTCACGATTTCGGAATCGTACCAAACATCAAGTTCTTATTTCTCACATTCCCGAAAATGAACTGGAACTAGACGAGGAAGTAATAAATGGTTACTATTGCATTTGTCAATCCGGTGCCAAAACATTGGGTACATGCGCACATATTGCAAGTGTTTTAAGGTTTTTAGGATTTGCTCGTCATCGAAGGCATGTCAAATATTCGGATGACAATCTTCTAAATGCGACCAGAGATGCCGCTAATAAAGACCATCAAGACAATATGAATGTTGAGATTCTTATGGTCGAATAGAGAGAACTATAAGAACGGCCCTTTTCAGGCTCACATAGGGTGCAAAATCCGATCGAGCATCCTCCTCGTGGTGCACACTGGGCAATGCTAATGTCGACGGTGCTTCATGTTTGTACAATGAAAAAGAGAACCAGTTTTACCGTTTTGGCGTTTTTTTATTTTGACTCCTGAATGAGAATCAAAGGGGCAGGGGGTTAAGGGGTAATATTTAAGGGCCAACAGTACAACTACTGAGTTTTAAGGGGTCAAATGAATGGACAGTGTACAACAGCGCTTGTTAGACTCGAATATGCTCAAACGTGGTAGTCTAGAATAAGGCGCACTATTATTGACTATTATTGACAAGCTTGGGCCCATTGGAACTTTGCATCAAGACATCATGAACTATATCATACAGGGTGTTTGGCAACCCCTGGGAAAAATTTTAATGGGGGATTCTAGAAACCAAAGTAAGATGAAAATCAAGAATACCAATTTGTTGATGGAGGTTTCGTTAAAAAGTTATTAACAATTAAATTAAAAAATTTCAAATCGTTCTGGAAAAATTATTTTCTGTTGCGGGGGTCAATTACAATCATTTTTGGTCATTACACATATCCCCGAAATCCTACGCACTTTCGAGAAAGAAATTCCTTACCGAAAATCTAATTAGGTGCCTTTTCGACGGAAAAAAAAAATTTTAAATTGTTCTGGAAAAATTATTTTCGGTTGCGGGGGTCAATTACAATCATTTTTGGTGAATAGACATACCATCGAAAACCTGCGCATTTTCGAGAAAAAAATTCAGTAGCGGCGGAAATTTAAACGTTAATAACTTTTTAACAAAGCCTCCGTCAACAAATTGGTATCCTTGATTTTCGTCCTATTTTGGCCTCTAGAATCTCCCATTAAAATTTTTCCCAAGGGTCGCCGAACACCCTGAATAAAACGTTCAGCTAATTTAACCGGGGGCCATTTTCGATAAGATCTGTGCTGGGTCCTTTGTCATTATCAATGGTTCTGAATCTTTCAAGGTAACAAACATACGGCATTAATAATTTGATATAGTGCAAAATGATTGAAAATATTAAAAAATTATTCGATTAATCTAGAAAAGAGTGGACTATCCATTTTATCATCCGGTTTAGGATTCAGTAATGTTATTGTAATAGTATCGATACGAAATATCACCATATAACTAATACCAATAACGACTTGTTTCGATACATGTTTGATATTTCAAAGCAATGCTCGGGGTTTTGATACGTATCGGTACTAACGAGTGTATTGTTGGTTTGGTCCCATCGCTATCGGAAAGCACAGATTTCCTCGTTCGACTGTTCGATTCTTACAAGCGTTCAATCGACCACTATACGGCGTACGGTGAACGCCCATATGCGTTCAGCGACTGATTTAACAAATACGACTACGGGATTTCCGCACACGGCGTACGCCGATCCTTCGAATCTCGAAACTACTACGGAAAAGGTTATTAAGAGCGATACCGTAGAGTCGTAAGGTCGTTTAAAAGTTGGTGGCGTGTTAGGTTAATTGAAACTCGCGTAAATCGTTTTCCTCGAAGCGTCGGGACCGTCAGCGACAGAACGCCCGGAAACTGTCGACGACGACCATTTTTTTCCACTTCCATTCGAGAATGAGACGACATTTTTTTATCGGTTTATTTTGTACAAGGTGGATCGCGTGAAGTGTTCGAAGCTGTTTTCTCGGGAACTATTAAAGAGACAACGATAAAATTGTTTGTCGATAT